AATCATCAATAAAGTGTGCTGTGATAGCCGTAAATCCTTTCTTTTGATTGCTTGCAATCCACATATCAGTTGTGATTGCCATCCTACTTTTATTATGCTTCACCAAACTCAATGTCTTCACCTTCTCATAATCATAAATCTTTAAAATATCACTCTTTATTGTATTTCGAGAAGGTACTTTAAACAATGGTTGAAGTGCTGCTGAATATCGTTTAAAACCAACATGATCTACAATAGAGAGGGGATATTCATGCAATATTATGGCATGTGACAACTCTTTCCTAGCAAAATCTTGATAAAAAATATATAAATTCATTTTTGGACTCTCTCTATTAAAGTTGTTAGTTAAAACTTTTTGCCTCATGTCCATCACTTTTTTCCTAGCATAACTCTTATAGTGATCATGCAAATGCCTAGTTTCATTTTTTGAATCACCTCTAAGATGCTTATTATAATAATTACATATTGCCTTTCACACCCCATTGGCTTGTTATTTCTTAAAGTGTTCCCACACAACACTAGGTTTTCTTTTAGTTTTTCTACAAATATTAGACTTTTCTACTAAATCAATAACATTTTGATTAGAGAGGGGAGATGGTAAGTTCGTAGGTGAGTTGGTACCTGGCAATGATTGTTGTGAGACCTCTCTCTCAAATGGTACTTGAGAGTTAACTGGTACTTCAGAGTTAAATGGTACTTGAGAGTTAACATATGTCATTTTTAACCTTTATAAAAATAATATGGATTGAATTAATGTTAACAGAGGCAGCAATATCATATAATAAACACAGACGTCAATATCATCCTAGTAATGTTAACAAACAAACAAATAAAAAAATGGATTGAATTAATTCAGCATTACAATGTGTACACTAATTAGAGGCTTTTTTAGTGAACAATTTGACTTGGAATGTCCAAAAGAAGTTTATTAATCAGTGAAGCCAATCTTCATTAAATTAAATCTTGTGAAATTAGAGGTTTTGAAACCAAATTTACTTAATTAATTATTCATTATTCACTAATCTCTCATAACAACTCTCCACATCAAATTAAGGTTGTCTTCAACAAGTAATAACAGATCATACATATCAATAATTAAAATTAAAAAAAAAACATGATTTGTATGAAAACAAGATGTAGACAAGTAGTGTTTCGTAATCTTAAAAAACAAAAAGAAATCAAAATTTTAACTAGAAACCCATATTTAAAATAAATAAATTCAGAGGAAAAAAAAAACAACAGTCAAAATAGTAACAGAACTCAGATCTAGATCTAGTTTAACGAGATATATATATATCCTGTGAAAATCGGCGGTGAGGGAGGATTGGCAGTGAGTAGCAGCCGTTATGTGTGTGTGTGTGTGTGAGAGAGTGAGAGTGAGAGAGAGAGAGAGAGAGAGGCGAAACCCTAAACAGCAGTAGCAATTAGGGGGGATTGGCGGTAGGGGTGAGCATGGTCCGGATTGGATCGGATTGGGGGTAAAACCAGGACCAATCCGTTATTTACGGTTCCTGAAAAATTGAAACCAATCCAATCCGTTTAAATCATGGAACCAATCCGAACCAATCCATTTAAACACGGATTGGATCGGTTTAGAACCACGGATTCACATAATTAAATAACAAAAAAAAATATATATATATATATAACACTTTAATTTCATAAAAACATAAACAAAGCGCTATATTAGTTCCACAATACTGTTCTAGAATTTAAACAACCATAAGAAAATTGATTTCACCATAAGTATTTAAGCCATTACAAATTAAAACTAAAAACTAACAAACAAAAGTAATAAAAGAAGATATTATGCGGGTTTAGGTTTGAGTTTGGGTTTTATATGGAATAAGAGAAGATACTATGGGGAGGATGTATAATAAAAATATAGACTATTTGTATACGGTCCGGATCGGTTCCAATCTGGAACCAATCCGTGGACTACGGATTTTTAATTGTTCAATCCGGAACCGAATCACGGATTCAAAAAATCAATCCAAACCTATCGGATTGGACTGGACTGGATCGGATTACGGATTTCACGGATTCCTTGCTCAGCCCTAAAAAATTTCATAAAGCATCCAAGACATTAAAGTAACCAACACACACACACATACCCATGCAATAAAGTAAGATACAAACACAGAGTTTGACATTACTTTATTTACAGAATCAGAAAAAGAAAAAAAAAAACTTCATATACAAATTACAAGAAGAAAGAAACAAAACAAATCATATAAATCACTTACCAACACTTCAAATAATAGTAACCAGTAGATTTTCTTCCAAATCGCAACAATCCCTTTGCCCTAAATTGACGAAATCGAAGAAATTAGGGCAAATTGTAGGCCTAATTGGTGAAATTCAGGATTTGAGGATTTTTATATGGATTCAATAAGGAACGTTGTCGTTTTGGGTTGGTTTAGGCGTCAAAAATGGCTTTCTCTGTAACTTCAAGAAACGGAGATAGACGGGGAGGGAGCAAAAGAGGGTCAAAAGCCCTTTACAAGTTAAAGCCCTTGGCTTAGAAATGAAAACATATAACATAAAACAAAACAACCAAAATAGAGACTTCAGCCCCGAGACCTTCCAACTTATGACCTTGGAGGCGACATATCACCTGTACCTAAAAACGGTGTCCCAAGCAGGGTGAGCCAAAGCCCAGTAAAGATATGGTAAACAGAATATGAGAATTAACTAAAACATTAACATCCGATAAATGTTTAACACAAATAAGCTACGTACATCATCTCTATAACCAATTAATTCATTGACATAGTTCAATATTATCCAACAGTTTAAAATGAGACTACAACTTATATATCAACACTTCAATAGCAAACATCATTCACCACTTCCATTCACTTGCCATTTTTCAAAACTACGTCTGAGGGAACCGGCACCCATAAATAAATAAAATTTCGGGACTTGTACCCTGGCCACTCTGGCCAACTTAGTTATCAATGGAGTCCATCCCCTATCTCCTCTCATATACAGATACATATACAATGTATTAAACATGTTGGCATATACAATAACCCAACAAACTCACATATTCAATATTTATATCCAACCGTCATATTCAATGACATCAACCAAGTGATTAGTTTCAATTTACCTAACCATCATACAGTTTCTACAACAATCAAGGCTATCCTCCACCGATAGCCCAAGACAGATATTTCTACACAGATAAATAAATGTATCAAACAGATAATTTATTAACTTTTCCACAGGTGAGTGATTTTTCAATCCAACTACACCATTCAATTACAATTTCCCCAATTTCACGATTCTTAACCCAATTTCATATTCCCACAATTTACAAATTAATTATACAAATTAATTATTTAAATTCAATTAGAGCATTAAACCCCCATTTCTTAATTATTGCACTCGAGGCCCAATTTCTCCAATTATATACACATAACCCTTTTTTAAGACCTTACATATACAATAGAGCCCAAAGGTAGAAAACCCCTCTTTTAAACATTTCAAATCTCAAACCCTAATTTCCCAAAATTTCTAAATCCCTCCATTTATACAGAATGGCTAATGTTTTTGTCAAAACTCATAATTAAGAGTAGAGTATCCCTACCTCAAATGAAGAAGCTCAGGGGAGAAAGAAGAAGAAAACCCGAGATGCTCCAAATCCAAGATTTTTTGGATCAAAAGATAGCCCAAACCAAGCTCTAACTTTCTTACAAAGGGACTAGGGTAGAAAACCTCCAGAATATGGAGTATTTGTAGAGAGAGTGTGTAGAGAGAGAGAGAGGCAGCCGGATTAGGGTTTTTGGATAAAAAGATGATGAAAAAGTGATGAATATCATGCTGCTGCCAACTAATATAATCGAGTCTCGCTCGAGCGAAGAAGTGGTCGCTCGAGCGACCAGGCAAAAAAAAGCGTCGCTCGAGCGCAAGAAGCGTCGCTCGAGCGAACAATGCGAAACTTTAGGTCTGCAACCCCAGACGCACGCTCGAGCGCAAGAGTTCTCGCTCGAGCGAAGGAACACAAAACATAGGGCTCGCTCATTCGAGCTCAAGAAGCATCGCTCGAGTGAAGAATACCAACCTTCAAATCCAAAAGAGACGTAGACGCATGCTCGAGCATAAGAGTTCTCGCTTGAGCGAAGAAGCACACCAGACCAGGCTCGGTCGAGCGCAAGAAAGCTTGCTCAAGCAGAAGCTTCATCTGAAAGGAAACCTGAAGACCCTCAATCCTCACTCGAGCGCAAGAACTCTTGCTCGAGCGAAGAAGCAAATACCCAGGCCTCGCTCGAAATCTTGGGCAGCAACCATTTGTTCTAACTCACAACCAGCCTGTTCCAAACTCACCAAACACATCCCAAAACTCAAATACAAAGAATAAAAGGATGGAAACGAGATACAAAAAACAACATACAACCACAGAACTCGAGTCCGAAATATAGTAAATGAGAGGGGAAAACTAGGGTCGCTATAATTATTGCTACATAACTGAACTTGTCCCGGATGAAGTGTGATTTGGAATTTTAAATTCCTTAATGAATATGAAGTTCTAGTTTAGGATTTTAAAATATGTATTTGTGTTAGTTTATTATTTGATTTAAGATTTTGAATGATTTGTTTGCGTTACGAATTGATTTTGTTATGTTTTTAATTTTATAAGTTTTAATTCATTAATTATTAATGTTGGAGCATTTTAGAAAATAAGGAGAAAAGGGTCCAAAATAAATATTTACAAAATGGGAAAAAAAACAAGGCTCAAAATAAATTTTTAAAGAAAAAAGTTCAATCTGCAAACTACTCGCAACTGCCCGCACATTAGCAAACCCAATCCGCACAAACCGCAAACCGTACTGCAGACAATTGCGAGTTGTCTTTTTCTCAAACTATATAAATACAGACGGGTCTAAACCGATTCACAAACCGTTCAAATCTGAACCGTGAACACCCTATTTTTGGTGGATTAGGTCAGATTTCTTATCTTCACATCCCAAAACAACCAAAATATTTTTGGGCTTACACTGGCGGCCCAATATAAAAAAGCCCATTCAGATCTACAGGCTCATAAGCCCTAATACATCATCCACCTCGCTGCCTCACACCGCCGTAGACGAAGATCGCCGCCGCCGCCGATTGCCGCTGCCTCTTCTCCTCCAGTGTGATTATTCTAATCAGGTGTGTGTTCGAACTTGCTTCCCCAATTGGTACCGTACATTTTTGCATTTCAATGATAAATTTTTGACGTATAATCTTTGGTTGATGGAGTAGAGAGATACTAGAGACCTAACAAAGTTAATCACGTCATGTTCTTGTTTCAGGCATCAAAAAAACCATCAAACTTATGAGAAACTTGAGCTTAAGATTGATTTTCCAATAGTGTTTCTCTATTTAATATATATACAAATACTGTTTGGGGGAAGGCATAATCTTTGAGGAGAGAGGACTACATAATGCTAGAATTGAACCAAAACAGCTTGATAGAGATTTTCCTTTTCTCATTGTGAGACCTGTGTTCTGGTTTTGTTTTTGAAATTGTTGTGATGCTAGGGTGTAGATGGGAGATGAGGAATTCGGGTTTGGGTTACATTTTCTTTAGGTGGGAGATTATTAGTGGAGTGAATCTTTGTTGTTTCAAAAAGAAATAAAGACAAGTGATCAAAAGCTTGTTAATACATGTGTTGCAACACTAATTTGGATGAAGCATTAGCATTTATTTTAGGGTGCATGAGCCCTTGTTTGCTGAAATATTTCAGTCAATTATTTCTTATCTAATTTCTTTACGTTCCCCATTACTGGACCTTGAAGACTAAATCTATCAAGGACATTGGTGGAATCTTGGCAGATTGGCTGATCAATAATGACACTTACCTTGTTAACATAATATTAGTGTAGTAATGGGTCTCGCCACTCACGTATATCTGCAATTCAGCGTTGACAACTAGGCTGACGCATAAGATGGCAAAAATAGATGGTCAGTGTAGCATTGCTCTTGGCTGATTTGTCAACTCAAGCCAAATATTCTTGGTGTAACTGCCATAGGGACAGTTTCAAGAAATGCCTTGCTGTAAAGTTCTTTACATCTTCACTTTTTCCATTCTTGGAAGCAGAAAGAAAATTTAAAATACAACCAAGCTGCTGCTTTGACATTGTTTCCAGCCTCGTGCGCACCAAGCAAAACTCTGGAATTCCCCTATTCTTGTTATCATGTTTTGTATCACCTTTTTTTTTTCTTCCCATTGTTTTGTGTGGCTTCAGAGACATCTTATGAAGTTGATTTGAATTGGAGACCTTTGTCCTACTTCTCAGTGTTTATTCTCTTTTTTCCCTTCTTATTATGCATTCCTCACCTCTTTCAGAAATATTAGTCGGTTAAGTACTACAATGTATATTCATTACTCTATAATGTCAGCACAGGTGATTGGTTGTTATGGAGAGCTCTGATGACGAAAAAGATGGTGTCTTTGAGAATTATATACCCAAAGATCTGAGTCAAACTTTAGCATCTAATGGTGCAAAGTTTGTGGATGTAGTTCTCAATGGTGACAATGAACATTGTTTGGAGAATTTTCGTATGGATAAGCATGCATTCTACAGGTTATGTGACATCTTACAAGCAAAAGGTCTATTACGTCACACAAATCGAATCAAGATTGAGGAGCAATTAGCAATATTCATGTTTGTAATTGGCCATAATCTACGAACTCGAGCAGTTCAAGAGCTATTCAGATACTCAGGGGAAACCATCAGTCGCCATTTCAACAATGTTCTTAATGCAATTGTGGCTATCTCATTAGATTTCTTTCATGATCCAGGTTCTGACATTCCACCAGAAATCCGAGAAGATCCTAGATTTTATCCTTACTTTAAGGTAAATTCAACATGACCAATACGAATGAACTTGGTCACTAGTTTAATTTGGAAATGAAAGTTTGCTCACTTTTAATCATTTTCTGTCAGGATTGTGTGGGAGCAGTTGATGGCATACACATCCCAGTGATGGTGGGTGTGGATGAGCAAGGACCTTTCCGTAACAAAAATGGTTTTCTTTCACAAATTGTTCTGGCAGCTTGCTCATTCGATTTGAAGTTCCATTACGTTCTAGCTGGGTGGGAAGGCTCAGCAGCCGATTTACGAGTTCTAAATTCAGCTCTTACAAGGAATAAGAAACTTCACGTCCCTGAAGGTAATTTTCCATCCTTTTACAAGAAAGTGACAATTCACAGTAGACTTAAACTACATCATTGAAGGAACTCTGGCATGACATGTAGAAATTATTGTGTCAAGAAAAAGTTCTGTAAATATTATTTGGAGATGACTTGTCTTCCATTGTTTTCTTTTTTCCTTTCTTTTTCGACTTCTTATTTTGATTGGTTCTTTCTATGTTTTTTATTTATGCTCATCTCTCTCTCTTCATTAAAGAAAAAGAGTGGTTGGGGCTGGGATGGGACTTCTTATCAATACTATTGACATATGCCTCAAATAAGTATGGAAACAAAGTGATTAATACCATTTCATTTTGTTGGCCTAAACCTAAGAAGCACAGACAGGCATACGGAAACGTGACCGGACAGATACGGATACGCAATGCGACATGAACACGACACATGGGATACGCTTGCAAAAAATTTAGTTATATATATTGAATATCATATATTTGAAGATTTCATTCAAAGATAATAAAAAATTGTAACATGACACTAATTCCTAGTCATGAAATTGGTTTGGATGCTGCCATCTTCATATGCCACTGTCACGTTGCGACAATTTCCATATTCGTCTGAAACTTTCTAGAGTCATATTGGATTTCTATGATACCAAGTTAGATTGCAGAATATGAAGGTTTGGGATTAATGAGAAAAGGAAGGAGTGAAAGAGAAGCAGCAAAGAGGGTCACCCTTCACCTCTGAATGTATTTATATTTGTGCATTATGAGATTACAAAAAATACCTACAACATAATATAATAATATAACAGTAACATGTATAATTCTACATTGTTTTTCTTTGATCATGTTATCTTAAGTTTTTGTTTAAACTTATAATGTGTGCCTAGCGATGGACACACATGTCCTCTAAATGTCCGAAGTGTGTCCAGGTATAAAAGAATAAAAATGAATAATAAGACAAGTTTGGATATGTGGCTGCCACATGTTGTACATGGACACTGATAAACTCATCTTGTGTTCTTATTTATGTGGATAAAAATATTCAGTTTTGATGCAGGTAAATACTACCTGGCGGATACCAAGTATGCAAATATCCCAGGCTTCATTGCTCCATATCATAGCACTCCCTATGGCATAATCGAATTTGGTGGTGGTGTGCATCCTCAAGATGCGAAAGAGCTTTTTAATCATCGGCACTCATTGTTACGCAGTGTTACCGATCGCACTTTTGGGGCCTTGAAGGCACGGTTCCCTATCTTGATGTCAGCTCCTCCTTACCCGCTACCAACACAGGTGAAATTGGTTGTTGCAGCCTGTGCAATACACAATTACATACGTGGGGAGAAACCAGACGATTGGATTTTCAGAATGTATGAACATGAGGAAGCTGGACTACAATTGGAAGATCCAATGCCACCTTTAGAAATTGAACAGCCTGTAATGCATACAAAGGCCCAAGTTGTGGACATGCCTTTTGAAGCAGAGCAACTGGAATATTCTTCACAGTTGCGCGACTCTATTGCAGCTGAGATATGGAACGACTATATCCGTGATTTTTCTTCTATTTAGCTGTTTGTGTAGATTGCAGTTCTTGTAATTAGTTTAGGTTTGGAACCTTTTGCTGTGATAACCATGTAAAAAATTGTGTTTTATTTTGGGTGGTACTTGGCATTTGTGTTCATAGGAAATACATGGGATTGGTCTCTGCTTGTATCAGCAAATTCAAGTTTTATGCTGCAAAGCTCTTGTTCATCCATGATAGGGACTTGCTTAATAAGCAAGTGATTGATTATGAAGCACTATATGACTGGTGTCATTCATACCATTACTCAGATTATGATTTATTAACAGGAAAATTATGTAAAATATTATATACAGAATAACATGGAAAATGTTAGTTTTATTACTTTAAAACAAATGGTCCATGAATTTGCTTTGGTAAATACATTTGAACGAAATTGACCCTTGCTCAATATCATTCTCAATCTGAACATCCCTTTGCTCAATATCTTCTCAATATCATGTCCAATGCATCATTATTGATATATTCAATGATATTCAAAGTTTAATCACCATAACATTATTGAATAACAAAACAAAAGGTTTAGCCCATAAAAAATTGTTCTAAAAGTAACTCTCAAAAGTCACACTATACATAACAACAACTAGCACGAAAATAGAGAAAAAAAAAAGCAAAACAAAACAAAAATTCATCAAAGCCTACGCATACATGTTGGAGATTCAACAATGGTCTCCAAGGCAGGAGTCCAAGATCTTTGCCTCGAATACCTCGCCTCCACCGGCTCTTCAACATTGCTCGCCTGAATATCTGTCTTGGCTTCAGAAGGGAACATACAAAAGTGATCACCAAGAACTGGGAAGATCTTTGAAAAGTTGAAGCTTCCATGTTTCGTCAATGCCTTAGAAGCTCTGTTTCTGAGAGAAGTGAATTCTTCATTTGTGAGGACTGAGTAGAGCATTTCCATGGGAAGAAGAAAGTAGAGTTGGCGGCGGCGGCGCTCAAGCTCCTCGTCGGCGGAGAGTCCAGGAATGCGGTGGCCGACCTTGAGATGGGTTGAGTCGCAGATGAAGTGGCCCGGATTCTCTACCATGAGCTCGGCTGCTTTGACAGGTCTTGTGTAGATTTCAAGTCTTCCATCAGAGAACAACACCTTTACTACTTCTACGCCATTGCTGCAGATTATTGAAGGAGCACAAGATGTTGCTGCATTACCCATGACTGAAGAATGAATGAATAGAATGAATGTGAGGATGGGCACAGAGAGAGAGTCAGAGAGAGAATATGGTAGAAGGGTACCAAGCTAGCTATATAATCTTGTATGAAATTGGGAATGGAGATTTTGGGATTGATGGTGATTGATAACAGCCTGTTGAAAACTTAATTTATGCATGCTGAGGATGGTTGTTGAGTGAGTGAGGGAGAGATACAGTCCAATGTTTGGTGTTATTTTATTTTATTACAAGTTCGTTCATGGTTTTTTTGTGATTTTTTTTATGCCTCGTACAGACAGTGCATATTATGTGCAAATTATGTTTTAGATTACTGTTAGTTATTATTTTTATTTCTATAGTGTTGAGTTACAGGTTATTGTGATGGTGAGACTATCAAATTATCAAATTAAAATTAGTTACGCTCTAGTAGGACAATTAGTTATGTTATGGTATTGATTATGATTTATTATAATAACTTTACTAATAACAAAATGTTCAGAGTGGTGTTAATTTAGACCAATCTGAATATAACTGATAACTCAAATTAATTTATTATTTGCTTCATTAAGAATAATTTTCACATACCATTAGAAATAAATTGTAAGAGCTCCTACCCAATTTATTAACTTGAGTAAAACTTACAAATGCTCTTACCAACCAATGCATTAAAATTTCATGCCTTCAAATTATAGTAGAGATTTAACTCAGTTCAACTTAACAATTGTATAATTTAAAATATATTAATGACTAGAATATATCATTTGGTTTATACTCTGTCTTATCTTCTGTTATATATTCATTACATATCACTATGTTATTAAAATTAATGATTAAAAGAGTATGAGACAAATAATACTACAAAAGAGAACTAGACAAATGATCAGACACTCCTAAATGATGATAAATTCTTACTTGTGTCCACTTTAAGGTCAAATGCATGGACAATCAATGATACTTGGGTGATCTTAGCATCTTCATTTGCACAATTTTTTTATTGAGGAGAGCACATGGTGTGGCATGGAGCAAAGGTTAGGCAATGCAAGAGAGCTCACTTGAGGACACCACCAAACTAATGATAGGACATGGCAACAACAATTTCTTCAATATTATTCTATTTAGCTGCTCACCTAATTCCTCTGCTGACCCTCTCCCCAGCATATAATACATATCCATTTATAAAAATATAAATATATGTATGTAGGTATATATTTTCTTATAATAAATTTGGAGAGGTAGGGTAGAGAAGAAGAAGAAGACTGGAGTAACATTATTTTCATTATTATCAGATAATAGAATCTGAATTCTGAACATGAGAATCTTTTACAGAAAATATTATTGTAATGTTTCATATGTCTTTGCTTTAGGTATGGGGTCACTCTCTTGTGCTAGCTTGCATAATATTCCTCACTATACATATATATATATATATATATATGTAATAATAGGACAAATGTTCCTTATCACTTTGTGTATAAACCTTTTGCACAAACACACATAGTTATAATTTATTAGCTAACAATTTTTGATAAGAAACCAAAACTTTTTTTGTGAATCTTGCAATGGATAACATTTGGTTTCGGGTAAATTACCAATAAGTTTTAATAATTAGATTTAATTTTTATCAAATTCTATTAAAAATGAGTCATAGTAAAATTGTCGCTAAAAAAAATTTTTGTGACAATTTTTGTATATGTCACTAAAAATCGATAAGTAGTGACTTTTTTACCACAATTTTTATAAATTGTCGCTAAAACTTAAAATTAGTGACTTTCTATGACAAATTTTTCAAACTGTCATTAGAAGTTGAAAATTAGTAATTTTTTTTGTGAAGATTTTTTCAAACTGTTGCTAAACTTATAATTAGTAATATTTTTTATGAACATTTTTAAACTGTCGTTTAAAATTAACAATTAGTGAAATTTTTTAGTAATATTTGATAAAAAAACGCCATTAATTGTCATAGGACTTATTGGACTAAATTCACCTATTATAATCTACACGTAAGTCCGTCTTTGGTTTAGGCTATATATGAAATTCTTATGGTTGTTCCATTACGATTTGAGTGTCATGGATTTAATTACGGAAGCAATTTCTCCATAAGTAGAAATAAGAGTGATGAAAGTCTGATCTTCTTCAGAGGTGTTTTGGGAAGAAGGATAAAAATTGATTTTTTTGACTTTTTTCACTATTTTATGTGAGAGATGATGTGATCCAAAATGAGTTAAAAATTGACTTATGGCTTTTTTTGACATGTTGCCGAAACAGAACTTTGCTCAATGAGATTGTTTGAAAAAATTTCAGGTTAAGTCTTCACTTGAGTCTTATTATTAAAGGGGAATCAACCCTCTTAATATAGTGTTAATAAGATTGAATGCAAAAATTAAAACTTAAATGATATTTTTTCAATATATATAAGCCAACCAACTTTTATTTATTTAGGAACATAAAGGAAAGGAATTAGATCCCAGTTGCAGTTGGGTTGGTGCCCAGAAGGTTGACAGACTCTAGCCAGCCATCCATCCATCCAATAACATTCCCATGGAAAGATTATATTATATTATATTATTATTAGAGTAATACTATATAAATAACAAATTCATATATAATGATGCACATTCACTTTAAAATAAAAATATCATTAAAAATGTATTTATTTAAAATAATGACATTACTATATCATTCTTATAAATTTGTTTGTATAAATTATGTATGAATAAAATTTTTCTTATTTTTGTTGTCTTTCAATTCAACAGTACTATTGTAAGCTAAAAGCTGATAATCAGAAAGTAGAAACTAAAATAATCAATTTTTCTCAGCTTACTGAAGCTATTTCTACTTAAAAAACTGTAAGCAAAAGCTGAATCAAATAATCTTATACAAAATTTTAAATTAAAATAAATTATGATCACCCCCAATAAATATAATCCACACCAAATACCCCCGACAACTGCTTAAAACAGAAATTGCAAAGTTGTCATGCTTTGTTTTTTGGTTCAACTTTGCAATGTAGGCTCTATTTAATTTCAATTTGGGCTACATTTATTAAGTTCAGCTTGGGCTCTATTTAAGTTTGTTCCCAACAAAATTGAGCCCAAATGAGGTGACAAATCCAACCCGAATCTTCAACACATTTAAATTCAAGCCCTCTTCTTATAACCCCTTTCAAAAACTATGTCCAATTTGAGTTTAAGTGAATATTTTTTATGATTCGATTTTTCAATTTTTTTGATTTGTAATTTAAGTGAATGTTTTTTATGATTCATTTTTCAATTTTTTGATTTGTTTTGGGGATGGGAATGGAGAGATAAGGTGTGGAATATTCTTTTAGGGGGGGATTGATGGTTAAAGTATTAGTTATCTAGTGTTGAAATTTACATTTATATTAATATAGTTTTTTGGTATTATATTAGAGTGTTATATTATAATATTGTATTTAAAAAAAGTATACTAATGAATTTTTGTATGTTACATTGATTGGACTGTTTGCAAAAAAAATATACTATGAAGTTTTTTGGAATGTTACATTATTAAGTTTGAGAAAAGTGCGTTAAAGAGTTTTTTAGTGTGTTACGTGTAAAAAAAATACATTAAGTGATTTTTTTAAAATATTACATTATTACGTCCGAGAAAAGTATACTAAATTTTTTTTAGTATATTATATTAGAGTGTTACGTTTGAGAAAAGTATATCAAGGAGTTGTGTGTTATGTTAATTGAAATGTTACGTTTGAAAAAAATATACTATTTTTTTTTTTTTTGAAATATTACGTTTGAGAAAAGTATATTAAGAAGTTTTTTAGTGTTATTTTTTTAGTATTATATTGGAGTGTTACGTTTGAAAAAAATACACTAAGGAGTTTTTCTTTTTTTTTTGAAATATTAGGTTTAGTAATTTCAATATTATATATTTATCTCTCAATACATAACACACGCGCCTTTAGGTCCATAAGAAAAAAGAAGAAGTACTAAACAGTTTATAAAATTACTATTTAAGATTTATTGGTACTTCACCTTCTTTCTTTCTTTTTTTTTTCATTTTTTCCCTTTTCTAAATACACTCCCTCTTTGTTGTCATACAAACTTTACTCATAAAAAGTTTCAATAATTTGATTTCCAATAATATAGTGGGTGTGAACTTTTAATTTGTTTAACATTTAATAATATCGGACACAACTCTATTGTCATATCATTGTGACTAAATTTATAAATATAAAATTTTGAATTTCTAACACTTACTCAAATTAAAATAATATTTTTAAAGTATATAGACATCTGTGTGAAAGTGAACTAACTATGTCTTCGTTTGGGATGTGGGTTGATCTTTTGGCTTTTTGAGTTTGGGGCTAAAAGGTCTCATTTGGGATAGATTTTTTAGCTTTTTTGACTTTTGTAAGATTATGGTTTGGATGTAATATTTTGTCTTATTAGTTTTTTTTAGACTATTTTGTCTTTTTGTGATTATTTTAGCCAAAAAGTCCAAAACTTTTTCATGCCAAACGAAGGCTATATCAAGAGTTTTATTGTAATTTTATGTGAGATGGGATAGCTGATGTGTGGGGGCACAATAATTACTATTGTACGGCTATATAGGCCTATTTAGAGGTCTATTTTGACAAATCGAACCGTTTACATTTTAGAGTACATAAAGTATAATATACTTACAAAAAATTAAGTTGATCGGATATTGTTAACTCTTTCATCCATTCGTATTTGTATTTAATTTTATACTTCAAATCACAATTGTCATATATATTTTTGAAAATACTAATGCAATTCGATGAAATGATTAACGTTGGACTTGATTTTTTGCAAGTATATTCCACTTAATATATTTTAAAATGTAGACAGTGCGGATTATCAAAATGGACCCATATGGCCATACAACTGTTGACTTATTTTTCATACGAAAAAAAATATTATAAATGCAAGCATGCCAGTAAGGATTGAAAAATCCTTACATATTAAATTCAAGCAAATTATCAAGCGATTGTGTTGACGATTCTTTTCCCTTAATGAAGAGGACTTTAAAATTGCTAAGTTTAGAGAAAAGAAAAATTAACAAAAAGAGGGAGATGGAGAAAGATGATTGAGTGGACAATCGGGGTAATTGAGCAAACAATCAAAGTAACAATTACTTACCACTACTCGTATGCTTTGAAAAAGAAGTGCATAAAATAAAATGCAGGAAATATAAATGACAAGAAAAATAGAAATCAATTATTTTTTATTTGAGTTCTGAATCCTTTACAATGTAGCCATTGATGGCTATTTATAGAGGAAAAAATACAGTAATAACTACTTAGTAACTATCCGTTTCTCTCATCTTCATCATTGTCTTACCACGTGTCCTTCCACTCATCCACTTTGCCCTTCATGATCTTCATCATCTCCATAACTTTTTTCAACTTCCAAATGAATTAGAGGATACCACGTGTCCTGAAAATAATAACAATAATAATAATAATGTTACTACTAATAATAATAAGAAGAATATTTTATATTGCCAACATTACCCCCCGTAACTCTTTAAGAATGAGTCTTCTTGAATTCTTTAAGAGTTATATAATTATGATGCCAAAATAGGCATTTGTTTGTGTCACGACCCAAACCCGGCCCTATGGGTTTAGCACCGTAACCGGCCAGTAATCCGAGATTACCGAAGGCCTGCTTAACAGTAGTACAGTAAAACAGAGTACAGGGCCTGGCGGAAGCCAATACAGTAAATGAATAATGTCCATTGAGCTGTGACAGTCTGCATGCCAAAAAGATTTTTCATGCATTCATACATAAACAGTACAGAACAGTATGTACAATATTTACATTCATTCAAACTAGGGACTCAACCCTACATAACAGTACAGGAAACATTCCGTCTATACAAAACAGTAAGACAGTACAGAAGGGGAATTCCTAAAACACCCCTAAGCCTTAGCAGATAGGCTCGGAACCTCGCAGTGAGGCACAAAGGCTGGCTTGACAAAACTGGAGTTACCCTGACGCCTCTAGCCGCGGTCTGGTGCCTGTACACCTACATATATATATGAGCAGTGAGCTAAAGCCCAGTGAATAACATAAAGCGTAAAGGGGTTTAGAATGAATGTCCTTACAGTATGAAAACAGTTCATTTCAATCAGTAATTCAGTTGCTCAGTACAGTAAACAGTCATATGTGGTACATCCATTAGAATATCAGTAACAGTAGGTCTTAAAAGACCAAACAGTAATGATGGCCATCAGTCAGTAAACAGTAGTGGTTCCACAAGGAAACCGACAGAGATCTCTGTGACAGTAACAGTAACAGTAAACCGTAGATACTAAGGATGCCACAATACAGTTCAGAAGATAGGACATACATTCATTCAGTAAACAATAGCAGTTCAGTAAACAGTTCAGTTCAGTATTCAGAAGATAATCAGTTGAACATATCTCTTAGACGAGGGTTGCGGAATAGACACACATAACACTTTTATAGTATTTATAATTCTGTTCTTCATATATAAATATCGACTTTTTTTGTCAATAAATTTTGTTATAATAATAGAAGCTCCAATGATTATTTGGTACCCTCACTTAAATATTTTTCCGCTCGCGTTTAGTAATTTGTTTAAGAATTGACTGGAAGTAACTTCAGTTACTGGCCATCACGATACTTAACCCTTGAGTATGAGAAGCGGGTCGTGACAAGTAGTATTAGAGCCTAGGTTTTTAAAATTATTTTTATAAAAGCATTGGAGCATAAGACACATGCACAAATAGGATGGGGGAAACGTTGAGCTAAATTATAGGTTGTATTTAAATTAGATATTTGTGTAGCTAAGATAAGTTATTTGTTACTCTGTATATAATTGTGTATATCTTTCAAGTATATGCTAAATAATTTGAAGAGAAAAAAAAAATTCAAAATGGTTCAAAGCTCAATTTGAGAAATCAAAGCCCAAGGGTGTTTAATTCAAATCCAATTTCAAACCATTTTCCAAGAACAATCCTCAAACATGACATGCATGATCTTAAATCATTTTCAAAGCTTTAATGCTGTTTCAAAAGAGCTCAAACCTTCAAAAACAAGATGAACTCATGGAGTATGACCAAAAGATGGACATGCATGTGAGGAAACATGGACTACAACCTCAAAACTTCAATATATGTACATGCATGCAACAATTAAGCCACAATTCAACATCTAAACCATGTTTTGGCTCTACACTCCATCAATATGACATGAACCATGCAAGAATCAACTTAAAACATGAACAAGAAGACAATGGAGCTACCTTTAGTCTTGTAGTTCAAGAAGGGAGCTCAAATATGCAATCTACCCTTCAACAATTCTTCAATTTCCAAGCAATTCACAAGGTAGAACTCAATTTCTCTCCCTCTCCCTCTCTTGGTCGGTTAAGCACAAGAAATGAGCTGAAGCAATGTTTTGATTGAAGTGTATACAAGGCTCAACATGTGTGAAGTAGTGGCCACTAAGTGGTCTAATGGTAATTAAGTCCAACTCTTTAATTAGCTTAATTTAATCTAATTTAATCATACCTAATCAGTCTTCAGGTAAATACACCATAAAATCACATTAATCATGAGGATCATAAAACACTAATCGGTTTCTAATTCGGCCGCCGATAAGGCCTTCAATTAGCAGTTTAAACATATAAACATGAACAGATAATCATACAGTCAACAGATAAAATGCAATTCAAACAAAAGTATTCATTCCATTCAGTTTCAATTTCGGTCAGTCAGTTCAGTACTTTTAATCAGTTCAATTATCAGTCATGATCAATTCAGTTTCATGGTAATCAGCGTTTATCGGTAACTAATCAGTCATTAATCGGTAAACAGTATGAGGGTTGTTACAGTTTGGTAATTAATTAATTACCAATTTATATATATTCAAAGAGTGGCGCATATTCAAAACTTCTCTTATCCTATGGCATGTTTCGAAGCCTTCACTACAAGAAAATGCACCTTTGCCGACTAAAACATTTTTAGTTGCCAAAAGTATAATTTTTGGCGACTAAAATTTAATTTGGTCGGCATTGGTTAAATATTTACCTACTAAACTTTTTTAATCGATAAATATTTGCAATTGGTGACTAAATTTAAATTTAGTCGGCAAAAATTAAAATTTTCAGCGACTAAATAGGATGTTAGTCGCTGTTAGTGTACAATTTAGCCTTAAAAAAAAAATCTGTAATATTTCTTTTTCCCGACTAAAATAGTACTTAGTCGCGAAATAAGACTTTTAGCGACCAAAAATTTCGTCGCTGTTGAGTGATAATTCATTACTTTCCCAACTAAGTTCAAAATTGGTCAGCAAAGGTTCAAATTTCAACTCGCGCCACTTCATTAATTGATGCGCGCGCGTTGATCTATAGGCAACAGTATCACACACAATTGAACAACAGTGTATCACACACACCTCACCAAATCTCACAGAACTCAGCCCCCCTCACCGTATTCTACTGTACGGGCGTCATTGTGACCGCCACCGCCGCCGGCGCCAATCACCACCGTCGCAGCCCTTGAATCACAGGTTCTCTCTCTCTCTCTCTCTTGCTTTCGCGCTCTGCTTCTCAGTCCGTCTGTGCGTCTCTCGCTCTCTCGCTCGAGCTCTTTGACACAGTCTATCTATGTTTCTGTCTGTCTATGTCTCTCTCCATCTCTTTCTCAAAGAGTTAAAAATGTTTAGGGTTAAAAAGAGGGAAAATGACCAATTTAAAAGAGGCAGAGTGTAAATTTACCCATTTTAGAAACAATTGTTATATAGGGTCGGTCCAAAGCGGTTAATCATATCATCGAATTAGGTTCTCTCACGATCCACAAGTTCGTTACATTCACTCACATATATATAACACTGGTACTAGTATATATATATATGGTAATCTCTGTAACTAGCGATTTGGGAATTGAGATCTGTGTTTCTCTCTCAAATCGTCTTTGACAAAGATGTATGGATTCGAAGCGATGACATTCAACATCCATGGCGGTTACCTGGAAGCGATCGTGAGGGTATACAGATCTGGTTTGCTCACCGCCGCCGATTACAACAATCTCTGCCAGTGCGAAACCCTAGATGACATCAAGATGCACCTCTCCGCTACCGAATACTGACCCTACCTCCAAAACGGTAACCCTGCAATTTCAGATCGATCTCATAGTTGTTCTCAATTCAATGTTTCACTGTGTTAATTGAAGCCCTAGAACGTAATTTAGAATTTGGGTTGTTAATGTAAATTATGTAAATGTAAATGTAAATTACCACTACCACTCACTCCACCTACCACCTCCACTACCACCCACTCCACCTACCACCTCCACTACCACCTACACCTACTCCTCACCTACTCCCAAATCCTCTCCTATATAATAGGAATCCTTGTAATATACATAAAACATCAATCAATCAATAATACATATACATGAATTTTAACATGGTATCAGAGCAAGGTTAGCTCTTGGTGATCTTCACCTTCCGGCGGGCGGCAACCTTGCCTTCACCGCCCGCCGGACCCCAACCATGCTTATTGAAACCGTGCGACTCCCTCTTCGCCCTTCTCTACCTCTCCCTCGCCTGCCACCCCAGACTCTTCGTCGCCGACCTCGCCCTTGGGGCTTCCCTCTGCCTTCAGGGACTCTTGGTGCTTCAGGCCGGCCTCTCTCTCTCCACGTCGATGCCTTCATACCTGAAGGATGTCACAAGTTCCTCGTTGTCATGCTCACTTATGCTGTCGTTGCCAAGACTGTTGGAATCCGGCGGTTTGGCTCTTATGAGGCCTTGCCTACTGTGGCTTCTGCTGCTGCCGCCGACTCCAATCACCTCCAGATGGATCTCTCTCCTTTGCTTTGTCCAAGCGATTCATTCAACAGTTGGGCACCTTTTCTCTTGGTTGAACTTCCACACAATATACCCCGGTGGCTATACTACAGACGTCACGTGTCTATCTCCTCGAGCAATGGAGAAGAACGTTTATTTTACTGTGGCATGGCCGGTCAGAGGCGCCACCCCACTGGACATAGTGCCTCCCCAATGGACAGCCTGGCCTTCCATCATTTTCTTCCACCAAACACCCACCTTTATTTTAATATTTCCAACCATTTCTTTTAAACTTTTCTTACACCAACTCCTCTGCAGCACACACTCCACACACACACGGTTTAGAGAGGGAGGAGACCACACACACTACACAACTGACACACACATGCACTTTATGATGAAAATATATATATATATATATTTTTTATCAACCCACTCACCGACTCCCCCAAAACAAAATAGAATCATCATCTAACCTCCACCAAAGACATAATCATCATGCTGCCCATACACCATCCTCTAAAATAATAATTCTCCATACACTCACAATTTGTCCCATTCTTTTTATTATTATTATTATTATTATTATATATATATATATATTTTTTCTTTTTCATCCCACTGTTTCAGAACCCATTAACAGTCTGTTCCCACTCCCACTTTTATTCTTTTTTTTTTAATCATTATATATTCATCATCCCCATGCTCATCATTTCATCACCATCCCCTTCTTTATTTCTTTCTTTCTTTCTTTTATTTTTTTTTTCGATTCCCTTTTTTTTAAAAACCAAAAAAAAAAAAAAAAAAAAAAAAAAAAAAAAAAAACAAACAATTTATAAATTTGCACAACAACCCACTTTTTTATTCATCTCAGGGATCCACCCCGATCACCATTTTACACCACAAAAAAAAAAAAAAAAAAAAAAAAAAACAACAACAAAAAAAAAAAAAACAAAAACAAAAAAAAAACAAAAAAAAAAAAACAAAACACCAAAAGCTTTGTTTTCTTTTCTACAGACGGCCACCCACCGACATCACTTCTTCGCCTATTCCGCCGGTCTTTTCTTCTTGCCTCCGTCCTGGACGGCCCTTGACGGTGTTGCCTCCGTGTTTCCCACTCCACTGGGCACGATCACTACTCCCTGCTCCTCCACTGCAGCATATGGCGGACCTCCAAATCGGAACATCACAGTGGCCTTCCGCTTCAGTTCCTTATTTTCCGCCTTCAGCACACTTATCTCTGCTCGCGCATCCTTATACATGCGTTGGAGCAGAGCCAGTTGGGAGTTTAACTGCTGCACCTCATTTGTCCTACTCTGCAGCCGGTTCTTCTACAACGGTCCGACATGACCCCATAAACTGTCTTCTACCACGGTCCGACATGACCCCATAAACTGTCTTCTACACCGGTCCGACATGACCCCATAAACTGTCTTCTACACCGGTCCGACATGACCCCATAAACTGTCTTCTACACCGGTCCGACATGACCCCATAAACTGTCTTCTACACCGGTCCGACATGACCCCATAAACTGTCTTCTACACCGGTCCGACATGACCCCATAAACTGTCTTCTACACCGGTCCGACATGACCCCATAAACTGTCTTCTACACCGGTCCGACATGACCCCATAAACTGTCTTCTACACCGGTCCGACATGACCCCATAAACTGTCTTCTACACCGGTCCGACATGACCCCATAAACTGTCTTCTACACCGGTCCGACATGACCCCATAAACTGTCTTCTACACCGGTCCGACATGACCCCATAAACTGTCTTCTACACCGGTCCGACATGACCCCATAAACTGTCTTCTACACCGGTCCGACATGACCCCATAAACTGTCTTCTACACCGGTCCGACATGACCCCATAAACTGTCTTCTACACCGGTCCGACATGACCCCATAAACTGTCTTCTACACCGGTCCGACATGACCCCATAAACTGTCTTCTACACCGGTCCGACATGACCCCATAAACTGTCTTCTACACCGGTCCGACATGACCCCATAAACTGTCTTCTACACCGGTCCGACATGACCCCATAAACTGTCTTCTACACCGGTCCGACATGACCCCATAAACTGTCTTCTACACCGGTCCGACATGACCCCATAAACTGTCTTCTACACCGGTCCGACATGACCCCATAAACTGTCTTCTACACCGGTCCGACATGACCCCATAAACTGTCTTCTACACCGGTCCGACATGACCCCATAAACTGTCTTCTACACCGGTCCGACATGACCCCATAAACTGTCTTCTACACCGGTCCGACATGACCCCATAAACTGTCTTCTACATCGGTCCGACATGACCCCGTAAACTGTCCTTCTACATCGGTCCGACATGACCCCATAAACTGTCCTGACATTGATTCCGGTCAGCTTCTACAACGGTCCGACATAACCCCGTAAACTGTCCTGCTACAACGGTCCGACATGACCCCATAAACTGTCTTCTACAACGGTCTGACACGACCACACAGTGTCTGCTACAACGGTCCGACATGACCCCGTAAACTGTCCTGCTACAACGGTCCGACATTACCCCATAAACTGTCTTCCCTATCGTCTGACACGACCACACAGTGTCTGCTACAACGGTCCGACATGACCCCGTAAACTGTCTGCTACAACGGTCCGACACGACCATACAGTGTCTCCTATCCCATTTTTAATTGTCAGCTTATTTTTCTGTTTTGTTACTCTCTCCAAACTCAAGTTGGCTAGTGCCTATCCTCTTTGAGTTTGAGGGGGACTGTTAATGTAAATTATGTAAATGTAAATTACCACTACCACTCACTCCACCTACCACCTCCACTACCACCCACTCCACCTACCACCTCCACTACCACCTACACCTACTCCTCACCTACTCCCAAATCCTCTCCTATATAATAGGAATCCTTGTAATATACATAAAACATCAATCAATCAATAATACATATACATGAATTTTAACATGGGTTACGATCTCATTCATGTATGAACTTGTAATTCTCTTTTGGATCAGGGTCTCAGTGTTTCTCAATTGAATTGGGTTCTTCTAGCTAAAATTATTCGTTTCACGATGTTAAATTGAAGTTCTAGAATGTAATCAAGGTGTTTAATTTTGAAATCTATGTTGAAACTTTTATGGAAAGTTTTCAACTAATGTATTGTTTAAGCTAGAAATATACTTGAATCACACTTCAAAATCTAGCTAATCGCGTGTTCCATGTCTTCTATTAGCATGAACCAAATCCTAGCCCTAGGTTTAGTAATAGACTATCTCGATCATGGTTATCATGTTACTAATGTAGAGAATTGAATGACACCGACACTCTAGATATGAGCCATGTCAAAGCATATTGGATGCGCCATAATTTTAAAATAAATTGCATATGCTCAGATGCAGCCAACACTTCTCAGACTCTCAATTAGCATTTGAGGAGCATTGCTCGAGTCCTTGAAACTATTGAAAGTAGGATACACACATTCCTAAGTCTTCCAACATTTTCTTGTCTTAAAAACATAAATAAATGAAAAGAATGGTTGATATCACACATTCACGACTAGAATTTGAGCATCCTATGGATTCTTTTGAATATATGAAAAATAAAATACACTAATGTATAGCAAAAATTACAGAAAGATAATAGCAATTGGAATTTCATATGTTTATTATGTTCATAGTGGAATTTCATAGTTCTAGCTTATGAACTAATAATGGTTATCGTAATTTTCCTGCAGAACCTTCCCCGTTGCATACAACTACAATTGTGGAGAAATGCACTCTTAAACTGGTTGACGAGTACAAGCACATGCTATGCCAAGCCACAGAGCCATTGTCAACCTTTCTTGAGTGCATCACGTATGGAGATTTAAGTCTTTTCCAAGCATGACTAATTTTTTATGTAAAGTATTGAGACAGTTTAGCTACTGTGTACTTGGTTGTTTATGTTCATGCAGAATTTGCCAAAATATTTATTCTAGGGGTAATTCTCTAGGGTTATGTATTCCCTAATGTGAGTGTGTGGGTTCTCTGCCCAAGATTGATGCTTTCGGTAAAGTTTGAGAAGTTTCCATGCATTGTATGGAGATTTAAGTCTTTTCCAAGCATGACTAATTTTTTATGTGAAGTATTGAGACAGTTTATCTACTGTGTACTTGGTTGTTTATGTTCATGCAGAATTTGCCAAAACATTTATTCTAGGGGTAATTCTCTAGGGTTATGTATTCCCTAATGTGAGTGTGTGGGTTCTTTGCCCAAGATTGATGCTTTCGGTAAAGTTTGAGAAGTTTCCATGCATTTGGAATCATTCTGTCCCCAAGTTACAAGGTTTTTGTAATTGTTGTATGTATTTGTTGCATTCCTACTTATATTGGCAGGATAATTGTTATGTGAAGTTCACTAAGCATGTGTCTGTTTGTGCTATTTTGAGTCACATGGTGCATTTAGTGTGTACAGTTAAGCTTTAGCTGGTCTGACATACCTTTAAATTCAGCCCAAACTGTGCATTGGCTACAAGTCTTGCTTGAAGTCCGACCTTTTGTTTGGTTGGCATACAGGCATGCAGTTTCATCTTCTTTAATGTGCAATTCACTGGTTTCTAAACAGGATGAGAGTGAACCTTTACTTTACTGCGTTTTTAATTTAATGCCTGGCTGGTAAAATAGATTGTCTTAAAATTTTTCTGGAAACCTAAATGCCTAATATTTGTTCATATTGTACAGATATGGTCACATGATTGACAACGTTGTCCTGATCGTTACTGGAACCTTGCATGAAAGAGATGTTCAGGAATTGTTAGAGAAATGCCACCCTTTGGGCATGTTTGACAGGTAATGTTTACTTGATGCAGGTTTGTAGTTTTGTTTTGACTACTAATAACATGGCAATGTTTTTCTTAATTTGTGTCCTCAATATTGCTACCCTGGCAGTTGCTCAGAATATGCGGGAACTATATAGACTGGTGCTTGTTGACAGGCCTTTGGCTCCGTACGTCTCTGAGTGTATCACATCTGAGGTACTCACATCTGAGCTCTCTGACACATCTGAACTATATCTTTCTGTGATTATTTTTATTGTATGTCAAAATATGTAGAGCCTCAAGGAAAATGGTATGTTCGTAGAAATGAAATGGGGAAAACAGTTTCACATGATTGGTTATCTTGGAGTCTTTATATTCTTACCTCCTGCACCATTTGAAGGGTTTAAATTATTTTATTATTGAATACTTGTAGAGCCCCAAAAAATTTCACTTAAGTTGCTTATTAGGTCTCAAGCACTCGAGCCGCAGTTAAGGAGGATTCACTATTCTGGTGGCAGATATAAATCAATGTTGTTGCCTATAATATTATTATAAACTTCTTTCGTCAAATCCGTTAGGCATTTTTTGGATCATGATTTTTCAACATTCATTTTCTTTCTAGTAAAAGTACCCTTCTGTATTTGAATATGAGGATTAGATTGGAAATTCTTGTTTGCTATTGATGATTGTCTGCATCTTCCTTCAGTTTTTCATGCTCGAGTATTATAGATACAATTGCAGGTGATGTTGTTCATTTGAAGTATGAGTGGATAAGATGGCAGATTGATCATTTTGGATAAAGATTTTTTTATTTATTATCTCTATGCCAAAAATGATAGTATGATTTTGTGATAGAACTATTTTGTTATCACCTAGAGATTATCAATAACAACTTGACTAATTCTTGTCATTTAGTTTTGTGAATATGGAATGTTACTAATGTAGACATTACGTAAGAGCTTATGGATGGCAATTCTTGTGCATAATATGCATGAAGGTAATAAGAGTACCATGGCATACTAGTAATTACGAGGATTGGAATGAATACAGGGATTGTTAATTTCAAGTTTAAGGATTTTGATGCTGCTATTGAAGACCTATCTGCATGTGTAAAGCTTGATAAGGATAACAAATCAGCGTACACATATTTGGTAATTATATGGTTCCTAAAATTTATTGATCTAGGGTATAGTACAATCAGCTTGAGAAAGTTCAGGCACTTTTCCATGTAAAAAATATTGATGGAGCAGGTTTTGACTTGTACAGGGTTTGGCATTATCTTCAATTGGTGAATACAGGAGGGCTGAGGAGGCACATATGAAATCAATTCAACTTGATCCAAGTTTCCTTGAGGCATGGGCTCATTTAACACAGGTATTCATAAGTAAATACTCAGTGTAATTGACTGTAAAAATATATGTATTATTTATTGATTGATTGATATATTTCTTAATTTATACTATTACAAATCAGAGTGGCTCATTATATAGGAGAGGGTTTGGGTAGTAGGTGAGGAGTAGGTGAGGGTAAATTGGTGGTAGGTGTAGTAGGTGTGGTAGTAGGTGGTGGTAGGTGTAGGTAAATTGGTGGTAGGTGGAGTAGGTGTGGTAGTAGGTGGTGGTAGGTGTAGGTAAATTCTAACAGCCCCCCGCAAACTCAAGGAGGATAGAAACTAACCAACTTGAGTTTGGAGAGAGGAACAAAACAAGAAAATACAGAAAAAATAAAAAAGGATAGGAGACACTGTATGGTCGTGTCAGACCGTTGGTGAAGACATTGGATGGTGGTGTCATAACGTTGTAGAAGACAGTTTATGGGGTCATGTCGGACCGTTGTAGCAGACAATGTTGTGACTGTTGTTGTGACAGTTTACAGAGTCTTGCTGGACCCTTATAGAAACTAACCGGAATCAATGTCGGGACAGTTTACAGAGTCTTGTCGGACCCATAAAGGAGCTAACCGAAATTAATGTCGGGACAGTTTACAGAGTCTTGTCGGACCCATAAAGGAGCGAACCGGAATCAATGTCGGGACAGTTTATGGGGTCATGTCGGACCGTTGTAGAAGTTGCACCCTCAAAAGAGTTGCACCCTCAAAAGGTGTGCCTAATTTTGTCAAAAGGCGTGCCATCAAAAGGCGTGCCATCAAAAGGCGTGTCCACTTTATCAAAAGATGTGCCATGAAAAGGCGTGCCAGTTTGTCGGGCGTCAAGAGGCGCGCGATGCGCGTGGCTGGCCCTGGCTATTTAAAACAAGGTTGAGGCGAAGGCTGTGCATACGAGTCTGAAACCTCTGAACGCTCGGAGAGCTTGTCTCTGCAAATCTTGAAACACCCGGAAACCAACCCTTCTCTGAAACACTTAGCAACTCAAAAACATGGCCTCTTCTTCCCGTCCA